AGATCTTCTGAAAGGTGTCACTGCCTCTACCGATAAAAGGTTTTCCTTTCTTTAGCTTGAATAGATGCTTGTGCTTTCCAGAGAAGAAGGACTAGAGTCTCTGCTACTTCCATGAAGGTACAAGAGGTCTTGCCAGGAACTTGGGCCAGGTGAAGGCATGTGGCTTAGGTCCTAAGTGCCTGCTCCTGGAGTCAGGTGATGGGATCAGCAGCTCAGCTTTCATCCAAAAAGAATGATGGAGTCTATGGATCATGGGTGATAGGTGCCTCCCAATCTCAGGGGGTGCATGTGCACCCACGTGCACCCCCTATGCGTTGCCAACGCTATGGATGAAAAGAAGCTTGGAAAGATGACCTGAGTGTAACTGAGGGCTGCCAGGGTCTGCAGAGAGCCTGAAACACCCACCGCAGAGGAATACGCTGCTTCACCTTCCCTCTGGAAACTGCAGCCACCCCAAGGAAGCGCAGGGCCACGTTGGGTGGGAGAGATCACGGGGTATGCATTCATGGGGGAGATGCATTCAAGTATGGCAGCCCCCTGACGCGGTGAGACAGCCAAAGATGCATCAGATGAAGCAGCACGGCAATAATGCCCTAGCCCCACCATGGCCCAAACCTGGGCACGGACAATCTTTCAGCTGAGCTTCAAGGAGAAGTGACTCAGACCCTTGCACTGCTCCGCGGCAGTTTTCACTGCAGTGCAGATGGCCCGTGGAAAGGACCTGAGCCCCAGTGCTCTGAGTAAAGGATGCATGTGAATCAGTAGCTAAGAGCAAAGGCAAAAGGTGACCCCCTTTAGCAAAGGCCTGTCAGGAGGGGGAGCAGTTGGGCTATTTCCCCGGAGAGCAGCAGAGCAGCCTGGGCACTGGAGATCAGGAGCAGAAGGTGGGAAGGAAACCACATACCTCACTGTCAGAAAAGCTTAAATAGAAAGAGAGATGTCTGACTTGGGGGGGGGGACCAAGAGGGGACCCTTAAAACTCCCTGCAGATTCAGTGAGCACTGACTGGACAGTCTGACTACAGCTACAAAAGGCAGCAGCTGGCTCCGCAACAAAAGACCCATCTCCAAAAGCTACCTCTGCAGATCCGCAATCAGAGACCTCCACGGGAGAGGGTGGCAGTCCCTACATCCTGCCAGCTCCATGGAGCACTTGGTGTTAAGGACACTGGACTTTCCTAGGATGGCATGGCCCATATCCTAGGCCTGGCGAAGGACCTCTTTGTGCAAGGTGCAATGCCAAACCTCCCTCCCCACAAAACCCCCAAAAAACGAAAAAAAACCCAACACAGAATGAAATCCTGGCTCCAGCGAAGTGACTGGCAAAGCTGCCATTGACTTTGCTGGGGCAGCTTTCCTCCAAGCATCCTGCCCAAGGAATGTGCAAGCTGAGAAGACCAGCAAACCCTAAAAGGTGAGGGAGACGTCTGCAAAACCTGGCCACAGTGTCTGTATCTGTAAAAACAGCTTTTAATATCCTGTGCATGTCCCATTCCCTTCAGGCCAAGACCCAGGAGATCTCACAACACCTTCAGCTCTCCTGTGAAGTATGAATTTCCATTTCCACCTAGGAGAAATTTTACAATCCTCGCATTTTCCTATGCCTGAAGAAGGGTGTGCGCACCCAAAATCTTGCAAATAAGCATTTTTTTTTGCAAATATCTAGTTGGTCTAATAAAAGATATCACTCCTGCCACAAGTTCTGATCCCAATTCACACACACACACTGACCACCGCCATGGGGGTCACAACAATGATTTATCATCCTTAGTGCTTCTAGGGTTTCACCCACATCAATGGGAGTGAAGGTTTTGCAATACAGGGATCAGAAACCACTCAGCTTCTTTCTTCCCTTCAGATCTGCACCCACTGAACAGGCCGTCTATACCCACTTTCTCTCTCCCCACTTCAGTGTAGCCCACCAGTGGGCCTGGCCCCATTCTGCTTTTGCCTTGAACAGAGCTATACCTCTGTTCCCCAGCTAAAGATTCAGTTCACACAGACACTTGCAAGCTCCTTACAGATGTAGTGGACTAATGGCCAGGTCTTGCCTTCCCTCCGCCAAGTCAGCGATACCTGGGCACAACAGGTGAAAAGTGATTCCAGAGCATGAGGGTACAACGATGCCACAAAGGAGCCATAGGAAAGACTAGCCCCAAATTCAAGTTTATCTAGATGGGAAGGCCCCAGACCAGCCCCCACTGAAGAAAATGGCAAATCTACCCCTTACAGCCCTCATAAAGAGCAGCCCCAGGCCTTGCATCCTACATCTTTCACACACGTGCACTCCCCCTTGTGAAAATCTGTGTCCCTTCCCACCGAGAGCTGGTAGAAATCCAGCCAGACCCAGCACCAGTAATTAAGGCTCATTTTTCAATCAGTGAGCACAAAGCACTTCACCTCTGTGATAAATTCGGAGGTGGCTGCCTGAAAGGGAACCTGCCGCGGCTTTATGAAACTGCTCGGAGGGGGTTCTGGAAACTTAAAAGGACAAGAAGGTTGTAAATCTGTGTTTCCAAGCACAAAAAAGCCTTCTGGAGCAAAGCAGCAACAAGGAGGAAACACAGTCCCTTCTGCGTTGTTTCTAGCCTAAGGAGATGACCACTCAAAACATGAAGGGGCCCATTGTCCGAAGCCTGGGAGTGGCCAATTCAAACATGCTACAGAAACAGCTCACCATTGCTGGCTCAGCCAGAGAAAGGCTAGGATAGGAGTGAGAACAGTCACAGCTCAGGTCAGGAGTCTCTGCCCTGCGGGAAGGGATGCTGGCAAAAGCACGAGCAGGAAGGGATGCTGGCAAATGCACCCCTGCGGCCGGGAAGGGATACTGGCGTGTATGCACGAACACGGTAACTGTGGATTGGAGGCACTGCTCTGATTTCTGCAGCTCACACTTCCACCTAATGCAAAGATCAATGCTCAGTGGCAGGCATCTCCAAACCAGGCCCAGCTCTGGGTGGCATTAGCCCCTTGTCAAAGTTTGGGGCAGGGGGGTGGGGCGGGAATGTAATAAATCAGCCCAAACAGGACAAAATATTGCAAGTGGCTTTATCTTTTAAAAGTCTTCAGCGTCTCTTCTAACACCCTTCGATAAGGACCTGTTTTTCTTCTTCATAACTGATGGTTAAAAGAGCGAGGAATAGATTTTAGCTTGGGGCTGTGTTGTGCTAAGCACAGTTCAGCTCCAGCGAAAGCTAAAGGCTGGGCAACCTTCTCACCCAGCGATAGCTACACAACACGACAGACTCCTGAGCTCAGTGACTCGGCATCCCATACAGCCCTAATTCGGGGACCCTCCTTCTCATCTAGCCAAGAAGACAGAGGATGTTGTGGTCCCCAAAGCCTGCTGGGTGAGCAGAAATGAGTGCACACCCGACTTGCTTTAGCTGCCTCCTCTTATACATTCAGACCAACTACGCTGTGATTGGAGCCGCCTCTGTATGAGTGTTCACGACTTATAGCAATGGGACTAGGTCCCTAATCAAGCCTTTCACCTGCCATTACAGAATTCAAGAGGAATAACGCTGTGTACAGCCCCTAGAAGTAGTAAAACAGAATAAGGAAAGACAGCTACATTTTAAGGTGCTAGATCTAAGCAACAGCAATCAGGACTCATGCTAAAGGTGATATCTTTTATGAGACCAACTAGATTTTTGCAAAAAAATTTGCAAAAATCTACTTGGTCTCATAAAAGATATCACCTCTACCACAAGTCCTGATTTTTTTTTTGCTTCTAAACCAATATGGCTACAACCTGGATATCAGATCAAAGCAACCAAAGTCAGGCGCGGTGTCTGCATGTCGTAGGGGAGCGATGCTTGCAGACATGGAGACCCCACTGCTGGCACCTTAAGAAGCCTGTCGCAAGCTCTGCAAAGGCCAGCTTCTACTACCCAGCCCTCTCCTTTGTTTCCTTTCCATACAGGTTTAACAGGGTTTTCCACATATCAGGCAGCCGGGCTCACTCCATTCCAGCAAAGCAAACACAAAAAAAATCAACACCCGGCTGTCTTCAGAGCCCGGTCCCAGCCCAAAGAGCCTCTTTGTGCACTGGAACTGGGGTGGCCGGGTGTGAAAGGAAGAGCTGACTGAATTCAGCTTTTCCACAGGCTTTACACAAAGCCTAATTATTCCCCTCCCCACTGCCTGCCTCCAGAGGCCCCAGGATTGCTCTTCAGAGGCCAGCTGGCTGTGTGGAGACAGGCTTGCGGGAGCGAGGGGGGAGAAGGCCGCTCAGAGTGCCCTGCCATAGGGCACTATTGTCACGCAGCCTCCCTGTGCTGTGCGCCTGATCAGCCAGCCCCAGCAACCAGGGTGAGGGGTGAGAGTGTGCGTGCGTGTGGAGATAGGTCACTCCCTATATGCTGCATTACAAAAAGGGGATACGGGAGTGCAAAAGAGCAGGAGCCCCTTGCCCACAGCCCGCAGGGACTGACACCCCCGCATTAGAGCCACCATGCCTGCTGATGCAAGCAGCCCTCCATAAGCCCTCCCCACCACCCCGGCAAGTGCCATGCAGAGCTGAGGTTCTCCACCCAGGTTCAAGTCTCCGTAAGGAGTCTGAGGTGGGTCCCTGAAGCTACAGCTCAGCTTCCCATTCACTTGGGCAGCTCTGCAAGCTCTCAATCCATCTCACCACCCCCCTCTGAAGGCCCTGAATGTGGAGTGTGACCTGGGTCCTGGTCACACTGTGGCAGCAGTATGTCCTGCTCCATCGACTTCAAACCCTAGTGAGTCTGCAAAAGTGAGGTTCCCCCCAGGATCACCTGAGTGACTGCTTGTTAGCAGACCGGAGAGAGCAGTCTTGAGAACATCTGCTGGGGACAAGAGTGACCTGCTGGCATATCAGGCGCACATGCATGGGAGTGGGTGGGCCAGGAACACCGCTAAGAGACATGCCACCTGATCCACTTGTCCCCCTCTGCACATGCCAACACTCAGAAACTGGGAAGCACGACCGCTATAGCACAGCCCCGAGCCCCAACCTAAAGCCCCACTTACGTTCGGGCGCTTCCACTGGATACCCTGGATGCGAGACTTGTAGAAGAGGGAGTCCTCGGTGGCTGGGAAGAGCGGGTCCTCAAAGAGCTGCTTCCGCCGCTGGCAGCCCTTCTTCAGGGACGAGTACCGCTGATTCTCGTACGCCTTCACCGAGGAGAACATCCTTCACCGCCGGCCCTGGGGGACAAAAGCAACATGGATGGGTTGGCTTCTGGGCAGAGGCAACAGCAGACCAGGCTCCAACTTTCTACTGAGAAGATGTAGGAACAAATGCATCTTAAAATGAAGGGAGAGAGATCATCTTACTTACGCCAAAGCCTGCCTCACTAAACCCCAGGGCAAAGGGGTCCCATTAACGTCACGCCCTGCCCTGAGGGATCAGATACCACAGCGATGGCCACAGGATAAGAAGCGGAGTCACACCTGCAGCCTCCCCTGCGCTAGTGAAACACAAGCCTAGTGGAAAGTCCCCATGAAAGGACGGGTGTGCAAGCAGCTTCGCCAGGGTTTGGACCCATGGAGAAGTCACCCTGAGACCACACACGACCCAACTCCCATGTATGCTTCAGTGGAACGAAAACAGACATCCTTTCCTCCCTCCCATGCCCCGGGGCTCATGCATCAGGCTCCAGCTCTGCTTGACACCCACCCCCACTGCCCTGTCCTGCAGGTCGCACACTCTGGTCTTCCAGATGGGCTGGTGTGCAGCACAGCCCCACCATTTTCAAAGGCACAGGCTCCCACTGCCTTGTGTCCTCCTAAACTATGATTAAATCAGGCCCCACGCAGCCACCTCCACGCTCCTCCTGACCGCAGGAACATAAGAAGTGTCCCTTACTGGACCCAAGGAGGCGGTCGTGGCCCCAGAGGACAGCAATGCAGAACAGACCCATGTAAAGACCTTAGCTCATGGGCTCCAACAACCGTGGTCCTCTCTGCCCCAAATCAGATCCAAGCACATGCAGCAAAGATGTTGGGCTTTAACAGAGAGTTTATTGGATACCCCAGCTTGGCTGATTTTTAATTAAAAAGGCCTCCTGGCACAGACCCTTATGTTTCTAGATTAATTACAGTCTTGCAGCAAGCAGCTGAATTCCTGGCCACGGAGGAGACGAGGAAATTATGTCCTACACGCACCCAAGAGACACAGCACCTGAACGTGTTGCCTCTGGCTGTCCCTCAGCCCAGCGGCTCCGAGGCACTGATACCAACTGCTTTGATCAGGAGTCTAGGGTCTCACATCCATCTCTGCCCTCTTCCCTGTCACCTGTGGGGTGGCAGTCACCTTCCTTAGGACCCTCTGCATCACTCTGGGGACAGAGGGAAATGCATGGGGGTCCTGATGGTGGGCAGTGAATGAGTTACTCTGGTAAAAGATCTGGGGAGCCACTGACTGACGGATATGCTGCATAAGAGACAAGTGATTTATATGAAACTGGGAAGACATCTCTGGCCGTGGCGAGGATACAATCAAGACGTTGTGTGTGGAAATCCAGGGGCTCCTCATTGCTACACTTACTCACTGCTAAGTTTTCCAAGCGAGCAGAGGTGCGCTGACTTGTGCCAAGATCACAGTTCCCTACTGCAGCGTCGACATTGCTAAAGCTGTGCTGTAACACATATGACAGCACACTTGTAAGGAGTCTAATTGAGAATTACATCCTTGCTGTAGGGACCTAAAGTCAGCCCCTGGGTCTATTTGCAAATGCTATAGTAGGACTGTCCTATCAAATGCTATCAGGCTGCTGACAGCATTTGATAGGACAGAACTACTACTTTTGTAATCCTAAAATGTCATACGAATGTAGCAGTAGCAGTACTGTCCTGGCAAAGGCTGTCAGGCTGTTGTGCATTTCTGCTCCCATCTTACCTCAAGCGTGCAATGAGACTTGCCTAATCCTTGTTAAACGATTGATCGATTGATTAAACGCCCATTGCCCGTTTATTAATCCTTTGTTAAATGTTACCGTGAAAGCGAGACCCGTTTTTCTCTTTTACTGGAAGCGTTTCAAGACCTCAGCAGAGCTGTGCAGATTTCCATTAGCATCGTAGCTAAATGGATTTCTGTTCTCTTGGCAAGGAGCACAGCTCTGAATGCAGAAAAGCTCTCGCTCCAAAGGCCTGCAGGATAGCAAATGTCATGTTTATATTTTAAAAAGGTTCCCGGGATGCTCTGGGGAACTGCAGGCCAGTAAGCCTGATCTCTGCACCTGGCAACTTGGATGAACAGATAATTGCATACAGAATAATAAAACACCTGGAAGATTGTGATATAAAGTCAAACCCTCCGCAGTTTCTCCAATGGGGAAAAAAAACCTGTATCTCGCTAATCTCTTAGAGTGCTTTGGACGTGCCAAGAAAGCCAGCAGATAAAGAAGTATCAGGTGACGTCATCCAAAACTTCCAAAAGACCTGAGAAGAGATCCAGTGGGAGATGCAGCTACACCACGGGTGGGCAAAGCCTGGCCCACGGGCCGGCAGTGGACTTCAATTAGAGCTATGATCTGCAGCCTGCATGCTCTGGGCAGGGGTGTGCAGGCAGCAGATCACAGCTCTGCCCCGGACTGGGACCAGGCTGTCACTGCTACAAGGAGCCGGGGCAGAGCTGTGATCCGGTGCCTGTGCGCCCGTTTGGAGCGTGCAGGCTGCAGATCGCAGCTCTGCCCTGGCCCCATTGCAAGATCCCAGCAGCTCCGGAGCAGCCCCCTGCTCTGCTCTGCTGCGTGCCCTGCCAGTGCGGCTGGGGCCAGTCTCCATGGCGACCCCAGCCTTGTGCTATCATAGTGCAGGTGCAGCTGGGGTCTCCCTGGAGACCAGCCCTAGCCATGAGGGCAGGGGCGGCTGGGATATGGAGTTCGGCTGCCATTTCGCCCACCCCTGAGCTAAACCAATGGAGTGTCATGGGGCAAGAGCCAGCATTGCCATCGGTCAGAAACTGGAGAGGGAGAAAGCAAAAAGGAGGATCAAACGGCCAGATTTCATCATGAAGGTCGAAATCAGTGGCCTCAAGGATCTGCACGTACCAGGGCTCAGACTAAGTCCCATTAGTGATCTCGAGTGAAGCAAAGCAAAATTTGCATATGAAACAGTAGGACTTTGGTAAGTCTGGTCTATTTGTTGTGCCATGACGGCGGGCTGACACCCCCCAGGACCAGCCACTGAGGGTAGAGGCCACTAGGAGCACAGCAACTGATTTCCTGGTGCGAGCAATGACAAAACGGGAAAGGGAAGGCAAGGGGAAAGTCACAGCAGGTAACAGCCAAGGCGCTCGGAGGACCCCAAAGAGCACAGAGCTCTCGCCAACTTAGGTTAGTCCAGGTCAGAGGAGGCGACAAGATGTGTCAGAGACCAAATGCAGCAAAGTGAAAGGGCAAGACGATGGCCAACGACATTTAATGATAACAAATGCCGAGTGGAGGGAAATGTTTCGCCAGCTGCTACAAAAGCAGGAGGAAGTGGTCTGTCGTGCAACGCTTACTGCAACCAAAACCACACACACGCACACGCACACTCAAAAGGGGGCTGGTTAGTTATATGGATGCCAAGACTATCCAGAACGATCCCAATTAAATGATAACAAACTTGTCTGAAGGATCCAAGACATCCTGTTTCAGGGTTCGAGCCACTCGGTTAGGCTATAAACAGACATCGCACTTGAGGTGGTTTCGCTTGTTCTCAATCAAAACCTGGGACAAAAAGAGGAGAGAAGCCTAGCTTTTCAAAGGAACAAAGTCCTGTATCCCAGGATCCTACAGGGGTACAAACCCATTATCCCTCTTGAGGGATGTATTTGGTAGCCATGTTGGTTTGAGACAAAAAGAAATGCAAAAATCCAGATCTCTTGGTTCAGAGATGATACCTTTTACTAGACCAACTAAGAAACTGGGTTTTCTGCTCACTGCCTGCTTCTGGCAACAGAGACAGGGGTAACCCTTTCACAACCACTGCCACATTGGCAGCAGCTTTTGGCTGATCTGCCAAAAGCTCCTGCCAATTTGGAGCAGCTATAAAAGGGCAAACACTTGCCTCCACCCAGGTGTATGCTGGCCTGGAGAGAAGCAGCAGCCATGATAGCACAGCGGCTCCTGATCTGGTGAAGAAAAATCAGCTCCCTGGCTTAAGACACGCATCTCAGTTTTCAAGGGCTGATTTTTTGGGGAAAGAGTACGTGTGGTCAGTTGGTAAATACAGTATTTCCTGCTCCCGGGCTGTTCTGCTTTCAGTACAGACAGCCCAAGAGCCAGCCCAGCCACCTGACCTGCAGGAAGGGAGCGTCTCATCTAAAGACTACAGAAACTCAACAGCAGCACCCTGGAAAAGCACAGCGGTCTGCTGCCGTATCACGCGCGGCACTGTGGGGAACTCTGTCCAGTGACTCGGACTGCACCAGGAAGCTTGGACCCGGCCCACACAGCAGCCCTGGGCGTTTTGGGTTCAACTGTCCTAAGCACGGGTGCCATGGGGAACTGGGTTGCGAGCGCTGCCCTTCCACTTGCTCTGGGGCTTTCGAGAGTCACGGCGCCTGTCTGTGGCTCAGTGGCCCCGTGGGGTTACACAGTCCATACCGACCACCCCAGGATGCAGCCACGAGCACTGGTCAAGAGCCTCAGGTGAAAGGTGTCCCATTGAGCTGGCTTGTGCTTGCATCTGCAGCTCTCTGCTGGAGGGGCAGCAATTCAGAGCCGTATCTGGTTCCCAGTAAAACGAATGATTCAGTTGCTCTTGGCCTCAAGGGGAGGTGGGCTGGGGTAATAGTACTATGCAAGCCCCAGGCAACACCAGGAATTTCTTGTAGGCACTCTTTAGCCCTCATCACCCTTTACTCTTGGGTCTGCATCATTGCACACTTGAGCATATGCACAGGGAGGGGTTGGGGAGGATATTCGGAGAGAACAGTGAGAAAGAGAGAGGTCGGTTATTTGACCCCAGCAGGCTTTCCTGCCCAGAACTGGGGAGCTGGACTTGAGGATCTCACGAGCCCTGAACTTCTGTGCATCTGTGATTCGATCTGTAAAGAGGAAATCCTTTTAATCCGCTAATTAATAAAGAGTCAGGGGAGAAGCACTCTGAAGT